ATATTTTGCGCATTTTTGCATTATTTTTGCATATCGCAAATTTTTGCGCAATATTTCGCACATATAAATTTACTGATATTATTTTAAACATTTAGCATTTTCACGATGTTTCATGATTATACTATATATAAAGTTAAATTTGAACATAGATCTTATTTTAATAATTTTTATATAAATAACATGTATCAATCCAATTTTAATAAATAAAATCAACTCAAAAAAAATAATATAAAAATAGTTCTATCTCAACGTCTATCTTTTTATTTTGTGTAAATATTAAATTTATTTTCCCTCTTTTTGATAAATAAATTTTATTCTTATATTATTTTTTTAGTGAAATGGAAAGTATTTCTGGTTCGATTTATCTTGGAAAAGCCAAAAGAGAAACTGATCTTAATATTATATTAGAAGATAAAGATACTCAAAAATTTGAAGGTCTTTTATTCATGATTAAGTTCCTAAAGTGAAAAATATAAAAAAAATACATCGAAAAATGTAAGAATTAGTTTTTTTTATAACTAATTAACAAAATATATTATTACTAATATTAAATTATTATAGGTTATATACTAAGAATATGTCTGAAAAATCTATGAATATTATTAAAACTATCAATTTTCTTTATCAAGATGTATGTAATGATTATATTAAAACGTTTAAAATAACAAAAAATGGAATAATAAAAGCAACTAATAAAAACTGTGATAAAGTACGAAAATTTCTCGAGAAATATCAAGCTATTTTAAGAGGCTTAGTTTAGATTTATGTGGGATAAAATCTATTGAGGTTGTCGAACAAAGTGAAATTAACAAGGTTAATGCAAATAAGATTAGAATGTTAAAGTTATTTGGTCTTGCTAATTAGCTGTATTTAAGTTCATATAAAATCTTAAAAATTCAACCTGATTATAATTATATCGATGTTCTTATTATTAATAACAAAAAATGATACTTAGTATAAGTTATTTATTATAATAAATAAAAAAAACAAAAAAATTACATGATCAGTTTGGTTTTTATAATTTGATTGTTTTATATAAACATTATTTTTTATATTCAAATGCTTGCACCCAAATATCATTTTTGAAGGCGGCACCAAAATAAATATAATCTTTACTAATAATTTGTCTTTTATGTCCTTCTGATGTTATCCAACCTTGGACTGCTTCTTTTTTATTTTTAAAAGAATGACCGAGATTTTCTATCCAATATATATCAAGAATTTTTTTACGCGTATCATCAATATAATCATAAATTTTTTTTCTATCCAAATAATTAACATATTCTTTTGCAGCTTCTACTAATTGACTAAAAAAAAATTAAAATATATTTTAAAATCAATTAATAAATAAAATAACTGGACCCTCTCTCCCCGTCTATCACTCGTACAAAATTTTTCCAACAAAAAAATTGCTAAATAATTAAATAACTCTAAA